TATATATATATCGAATTAATCCAATATTTTGTCACATGCTTTTTAATCTTTTATTTAAATTTTTATACTTTTGTTTCACTTTCTCTAATCCTCTTCGAAAGGCAATATATTCCTTCAGCCATTTTCCTTCTCCCTTGCGTGATTCCATTTTATCGTTGATTTTGGCATCTATACATTTGAATACGTCCGCTTATCGCGTTTGCGATTATGTGTGTCGTTTTAGTTATTATTATTGATTAAATAAAAAAAGTTACATGTTGTTCGTACCATTTATATGGTTTCCGGTGGTGTTCGTTCGATTAGTTTATATGATAAGATTTGATATGAGACGTATAATTAAAGAGAAAGTTGATGCAACGTTCAGTTGAATGATGTGTTCGTAAACAAATGCTGTGTTGTTACTATTAATCTCGGTTGTTCACTGTTTCAGTTACATAAACAACTAATCGCTTATTCGTCAAGAGCTGTCAACATCACTGTCAATTCCAGGTCAGAATCTTCTCGTAATTATTCACGTTCTCTTGTCCACATTGCATTAAATCCTACTCTATTCTTTGCATTGTATTTGCTCATTGTCTATAATTTTCACGTACTTCTCAATGAATAATGTTAGTAAAAATATCTTAGAGCAGCTATCATTTGATGTAGCTGTCTAATCAATTTATTATTATTATATGCGGTTAATTTATTCATTGTATGTTTCGTTGTTATAAATATTGTAAGAAATTGAGGGATGTGAATGGTTATAAAATGAAATGAATATCGTACGACTGATAAATTCATTTTGTTATTTATATTATACTATGGCATACATATATAGCATTGAATGTTTTCAAAATTTGTGTTTGACATTGAATAACATTTATATTGTTGTTGTTATAAAGAATGAATATGTTTATATTGTTTCGTATTCGTATATAAATGTATATTTAAAAAATGGCTCTAACAAAAAGTGCGGAGAGAAAGCGTTGATAAAAAGATGCGTCATTTGTAATATGAATAGATGTTGCGATGTTATTTGTAACACAGAAATTTGTTGAGATAAGTTGTGTTCATGTTGGTTTGTATTCATAATCAATTCATTCATCTAATTATTCGTATTGTTAACTCAGCAATAATCATCCTTCTATCATTTGATTCGAATATTTCCTATTAATTCGATCACTACAAGATCAAATTGCCTGTAAAGTGTCTACTCAGCGATTGTACTGTTGATACTGATTCGTTCGATTCTGTTTGCTCGTTGACGGGCGATTTGGATGATGGCTATGAAATCGGATGCTGATAAGGGTGACATATACAGTCAGGACGTAACATTGATGAATATAAGTAACAGTCCAATTCAAGAGAACACCGTGAACAGTAGTCTAGATGATGAGCGCTTATCACCCAATAACGTATCATCCATATTGCCAGCAGCCATCCCCTCACTTAACATGTTTCATATGTATTATTACCAACCTTTCTTACATCAAGTAATTCAATTCACTGCTTATCAAACCGGTTTATTTCATTTCCAGTTCACTTTTATTCACTCTTATACGTGAACAATTGATAAAATAACTTTATTTAAAGATAACATCTGCAAACAATTCGCACTTATCTTCCACAAGAGACACATCGTTTTACGGGTTCGCAAACCGTCTTCAGCCAATCCCACCAAGTTATTATTTACGATTGTTGTGAACCTCTAACTATATGCAGTTATAATTACGACGTTATATCCAGATTCGAATCCATATTGCTACGATCAATACAGATATCAATATCGCAACTCCAGTCAATTAACAATAATGCCGCAGTCATATTCTCAATCAAGGAATACCTACACTAATAACAATACCCGACCCAGTTCAGTAGTTACGAAACGTGGGGGCAGAAGGCCCAAGGAATATGAAGAATATGTTAATTTTATTTTTATTGTTATTTACTGTCATCATTATAATTGTTAACAACATCTATTCAAAATGTACGATAATAAATTAAGGACCATGTAGCACTAAGTGAAGAAGAGAAGGATAAGCGCGATAAAAGACGACTCAGAAATAAGGAAGCAGCGGCGAGGTGCAGAAAACGGAGATTGGATTTGATGGAAACGTTGCAGTCTGTTTGTTTTATTATTATTGTTAATGGTGATATGTTCGCATAGCACTTGTTTGAATGATGAAGATTAATTATTTGCAGCAAGTTGATCAGTTGAGGGAAGAGAACAAGATGAAGGATTCGAAAATTGCAGAATTGCAGTTACTGGTATGGGTTACTTACGATTGCTCGCATCATTCGCTCAGCAATAATACCAGCAATTTCAGAAGAACGAATTGATATCAGTCGTGCACGAGCATCAATGTGTATTGCCTGAATCACTGCGTCAAACACTAGGTCTGGACGGCACGGCGCAACAACAATACATCATTAATAACAACAACAACAACATATGTAATTTATATAACAACGTAATTTCCCGCAAAAGACCTGCGAGTGAACTCATTCCTGAGCTCAAGTCGCAACAAACCAGTGATGATACCAACAACGTATCACCATCACCCGTTAACACGTCCACTGCTAACGCATCACAATCCAGCATTGTAAGTTCATCAAGCAGTTCAATCGTGTGCATTATGCACGTTAATTCAAACCAATTCAAGGCACCCGCAAAAGTGAAGCAAGAACCGACCTTGTACGACGTGAATAATCGTGACGATAAACAGGATGAAGACATCAAGCGACCGACCTCTTTATCGTTCAACAACAATACGACCAGCAGTAATAATTATAATAATAACAATACTAATAATAATATTACAAGCAGTTCCGGTGTTCCAATCACGACTCCGTCTAATTTGCTTGGTTCAGGTACAAATATGACTGATACTGATGAACAGCTCACTGATTGTGTCACTAATGCAAAAAATTGAAGGTGTGTCCGAGTTCGGAACAGTGAATTTACTGGATGGACCGACGGGTTTAACGCCGTGTCATCAACCTCAACCTACTGCATTCCCGATTTCATCTTTAAATACGCCCCTCGGTAGTGACGGTCGCAGCTTCGAGTCACTGTAATCGTTATAAACTACCCCTGTAAAGTCATATGCCAAATATTGCAATTATCCTGTTTACTTACAACCTAAGTGCCTTCTCTTCACAATATACCGTTCATAATATTGACACTTCATTAAGGTATAACATTCTTCAGTAGATGTGACATTGCTATTCAGTTCGTACATTTTAATGGTTCATTCAGATATAACTTCCAAACTGTGTGTGATTTAAATGAATTATGATGTATTCATTTTGTAAATAATATTAATATTTGTGTCTTATTGTTATATATGTTAAAATTGATAGTTTTATAATGGATAACAATACCTAAAGATGCTGCATTAAATTTATTATTGTGTCAGAGTTATAACATATCAATCGAATTCTGTTGTGATTTATGAATGTTCCGTTTTGTTTATATGTGAATTTTGTTATGTTATATTCGATGTGCATTCAATATTAACCAAATCTATCTGGTTTTATCACTTAATCATACCTGCTCTAATACCATCTCATTACCAGCTGTAATAATAGATCTGAACCACAAAGGCGATGATTATTTTTGATAGGATACAGAATGTGATCACATACCTCCGCAGATGATCGATAGTCTTATCTGATGGTGGTAGTGATTTGTGGTTTGTTGTGACCGTTACCGTTTCGCATTTAAGCGCAACATTTTGGATATGAACCGTTAAATGAATGCTGATAGATAGAAGTGAATGTAACTAATATGATTGCCTTTATCTTTGATGTACTATTGCTAAGCAAGAACTGTTATGTGATCATATGAATGATGCAATCAGTCTATGTCTGGTAATAAGAAAGAGATATTGTACACGTATTGGTGTTCATCTCGTCAATGTCTTGGTTCATTTATTTGCTTTATGAAAGTACCAGCTTTCAACAAATAAACGTTAAAACATGTCATCACATCCATCCACACCCCTACGCCTGCAATTCGTTCCACATCGAATGTTCATACCACCCAAACGTTCAACTTTTTGATAGCGGAGCGTTTACACGATTGCGATGACATCCTTGGAAGAATCGCCAACTCGAGATCGCACGTTCGTTCAAGTGCGCAACGTGGTAGCGAACCTCACTATGGATGTTCACATTACCGTACATGGCATCGCATTTCGCAGAACGCGTACGAATGACATCATAGAGAAAGAAGAAATAGAGTTCCCAGTCCTCTTGGGGTTTCCCTAAGAGGACTGGGAATTCTCCCAAGAAGAGGGTTCCCCCGAAGGAAAGGGGAGATCCCTTGTGGGGGAGAGAGTTCTAACGCTGTAAGGTTACTTATCGGCGAGGAACTAAATATTCGTCAAATTATGTATATTGATTATTATCGGATATTTATCATTAACCTGCTCTATGTCTCGCTCGTTTCATTCTGTACCATTAAGTAGCAAAACATATAAAAAGGATTTAGTTATAGGTAAATATAAACCGTAGATGGTAAACGAATAAGTTGAATATATCGACACTGAGCTGAAGAAGTGTCATAATAATCTTACTTGAAGGTTTGTTTTGTGACTATGGAGTGTTTTAGATTAGTAGTGATGCTGATGGTGTTTAAGGATTATTACTAAGATGTCATCTCGTGAATCATTTATTGAAAGTGCTCAGCAGTCATCGCCAAGAAGTAGTCGTGTGTCACGCCATGTAGATACACTTCAGCAGGTACTCGTTTGATCTTTATATCGAATATAATCGGATGTGAACGAGCGCAGTTGAAGGGGTGTGAAATGGAAGAGTCGAGAGTGGAGTCAGTGGTCACCACAAAGTCAGCGTCCTCCTCTCCAATCAGATATGACTTGTCGAGTCAACGATCACTATCACCCGTTAATAGATCGCAACAGTACGTTTATTTAATTTTGTAGCAGTGCTAGTAGTGCTAGATACATGACCAATGCAATACAGATATGGAGTAGCGGCATGTGATTCAGCAGTGCCTAAAAGCTCATCAATGAACAGTGCTCATATATTGATAGATCCGTTGACTGGTCAGCAGTACATCCTGCAGACGAGCACCACACAGCAACCTGTGTTTTATCAACCGATCTACAGCACCCCTCCACCCATCTTCTACCAACCTTTCACTAATCAACAACCACAAGGTTCTCAGTTCACATCTACTGTATGCACCTCGAATAATCACCTCAAAATATCTCATTTACAGGTGCTTATCTAATGCCACAACCAATATCACCCAATATCAATTTTGTACCAAACCAACAATCACATTCCAATTTTGTCAATAACCAGCCATTATCTTCGATTAATGGAGCAGTTATTGTTGATGCTAGTAGTGATAAAAATAGGTATATTCTATATTCACATTCACATAATTGTTACGGTTATTGATATGGTGTTGATTGTAGATCAATGCCAAGTGGAGAGCAGTATGTACAAAGCCAAGTAAAAGTGCAAAATGAGGAGTTATTGCGGACATGTGAAATAAAGATGCAGCAAATAATAGCAATGAAATGTTGGTTTTGTGGTGTTCTGAAATGTAGTTGTGATGTAATGATGTAATAGCAATGAATAATCAATTCAGCGCAATCTCCATTATGCTCACCAAAAGCGTCAGTTCACAATGACAGATCGAAAGCGCAGTCGTCATCCAACCAAGCAGTTAGTTACCTAACACCACATTTGATTATTGCTTTTCCTAATGAATATAATTTCAAGAGCGAAAGTAGCGCACCACGAAGCAGCACATCTCAACGTACTCCTTTATTCGGAAGTGCACCTTTCTGGTGGGGTGATGACACTAATAAAAATAAATGTTCGAGTACTGATGTTGAATCGAAGAAGTTTGTTTCATTCTTTCTTGTAATCAGTCGATAATTTTTCCGCATCAGCCAATACTCTTTACGCTTTTACTAATCCCATTTTACTCTCTTTGCTTTCACTTACAATCTCTCCTCTGTTTATTGTTAATTGATGAAAATAAACTAATGAATAATTCAGTCACCATAAAATATCAAACACAAATGTTGTTTCTGACAGTGAATTAATTAATTTACCGAGCACTCATCAAACCAGGTTCATTGTTATTTATACATTTATGAATGTTAATATATTACCAATATTTCTTATTTTCCTTCATCACTAACGCCGATCACTTCATTTTTAACAAATGCTTTTGATTGCGTGTTGCGTTCAGTAAAGAGGAGAATTAAGAGAAGTGACTGCTGCATCGAGGTCGAATGAAGCAGTGAATGTTGAGAAGAAATTGAAAGGGATCAGGATGGATATTGATCTGAATAAGTCGTTTGATATTGACGATAAGCCTAAAGACGACAAGATAAAACGTGCGTTCAATTCTCTTTGTGTTCGTGTACACAGCAGCAGCTTACAATGCGATTGCAGATTGCAACGTAACGCCACCTACTGCATTTACGGTGTGTTTTGATAAGGATGACGACTCGAATTTATCACTGCAAGATGCTGCCAGAAAGACCAGGTTCGCTGCGTTCTTCTGATTACTCTTCTGATTATTTGAATTAATTCAGGAGATTATTACGTCGTATTACATCGTCGAACACTAAAGATATCATCCAACTTGAACACACCAACCCCAAGCAATATCTTCTAAATAAAATGTTGATGGGCAGTGGTGCTAATATTGCAGGTTTCTCTTCATAATTATTCACATCTTATTCAGAAAAGTTATATGTATATGTGTAAATTGAAGATTTCAATGGAGCACCGGAGTTTGTTGGTACATCTTCGAATGAAAACGATGAAAAGCGTGAGTTCGATAGTCTTAGTGAGGCCGGTACTTATGTTGTTGGTATGTTAATTACAGTTGTTACTGGTGTGTTGTTAGTGATTGAATAGTTGTGAAATAAAAGTGCTTGTAGATGAGAAGGACCGACAACTGGATCAGATGGTCGCATCGCAACGAAGCGATTCAGATTCAGATAGGTTGTGTTATTACTATTAATGTAAGAGTGCTCATATGAAATGAGGTGAATTACAGTGATACAGTGTCAACAACCAAAAGTGGTCATCGCTCGACGTCAGCCAAATCAACTGCCGATTTATCACAGGTAATTCGACGGGCTGGGTTCATCAGATATAATGATCAGTCGGCAATTCAGATCTCGACCGAACTGCACGACAGTAATAAGGCAGCTCGCAGTGAACAACTGTTAAAAGAGCTGATCAAACTCGGTAACGCGCCATCCAGTCCACCCACCAGTTCCAGCACCGCATTATTAGCATCCAAATCGATCGTCAGTAAAAGGTTCTTTTTACTTCCCGTATCACTACTCAGTGTATCTCCTGTCTAATCATAATTTATGATTCAAGTAATCCTGCCCAACTAGCAACATCCAAACCAACTCGTTTATCGTCGTCGTCAACATCATCTCATGCTAACTGCTTACATCCTTCTTCTTTTAACAAATCTCCTTTTCAAAACACCAATTTCAGGTTCATTACTTCTTATTTTTACTAACTTCGCTTCATTAATAGCATGTTGTTTGCTCTCAACTCTTCATTGAACTAATCCAATAATAACCATTATGCAGAGCGTGCAGGTGCCGAAGTGAAACGTGAGATATTTTCAATTAATAATCATAATCGAATGCATGATTTGTTACGTGATGTTATCTGATTACTGCACTCTGTCCTTATCTCTGCTTATAATGGATAATTAAGACGTGCTGATGGAGGTCGATACTCGATGCGCAATCAGGTGAATGCTGCCAAGTCATCAGCTAATAAACCGACATCATCCCGTGCTGGCACTACTAATAAAAATACACCGGTATTATTGTTTATTTGATTGCGATTGATCGTTAATATATTGCTATGTAACGGTTGCAGAGTGTGCCAAAGGAAAGTGCTGAGATGACAGCGTGGTTGCGAAGAAAGGATTACAATCCGATGAAATCCGCGGCTGATGCTCGTAAATTACAACAACTTAAGATGAGGTTCATTCTTTACCGAAATGAGTTAAAGCGTTCGCTTGTGATTTAATGTAAAATGAAATAATTAGACTGAAAGATATCACTGAAGATACGTGTGGTCGAATGGAGTGAGTTTGTTTGGTTTGATTGGTGACGTTTGGTGGTTGTGTTTGATATTGTGTTGTTGTTGTTGTCGTTGTTATGTAACGGAATGATAATACGATGAAAGAAAATAAATGCATTCAGAAGTGATAATTTCACATCGAATCGATCAGTCTCGTTCAATCAATACTCAACATCAAATGAGCATCAGTGCAGCAGATTGGTTCGTTTGTTTTGTTGATTGTTGAATTCGTGACGAAGTGATGAAGTGACCGTAATGGTAATTTCATATGCGAAGTGAACTGAACAAGGGTGGATGTGTTAATCGATCAGAAGATGATTTGCGTGCTTCCCCATCGAAGGTGTTCGAAGTTCATTCGAAGGGTGTTTCTGATCAAAGGAGTGTTGAGTTGAGTCGTAAGGTTTGTTCATTAGTGATTATGCACTGAAATTAATCAACAAATATTCAGTTATCGGCAGCGAAAAAGAATCAAGTTGACGAAACAATACAGCAGCTGACAGAGAAGTGTCATCGAAGTATCGAGTTGATTCGGTTCGTTCTTTAAATTAAAGAGAGTGTGTAGTTGTAATCGCAGTGCAATCAAACAGGAATGCTCATCACGGTGAGCTGTCCAAGTCGATAGAGAATATGCTGGAGAATGCGTTGAAGAGAACGGATACTCCAGGCGACGATCACCGCTCGCTGAACCATCAGCTGAACACTCTCTTGAACGCTTTTGATGCCATCGAAAAATATTTATCTCAGGTTTGTTATCTTCGTTTTTAATCATTACAACTCAACCATTTCTAATTCAGGTATCGTCGATTTCCACTCCAAATTCAGTGGCATCTTCACCAACCCGATCAACATCTCCCACTGCATACTTAAAACCATCCTCGCGATCAAAAATGTTTCATTAATATATGTTAATATGCATTTACGCTTTGTTATCAGTTTTAAGATTTGGGTTAATGGTAAAAGTTATTTTAATGACTGAATTCATCAAACAATAGTCATAATTGCGATGTTAAAATAATAAATTGGAATGGAAAGGATGCAATTCTCAAGATGTGATTAATATAATGAATTATTATTATGCATGATGAACAGCTTATATATATTCTTATGGATCTTGTTAAGTTGATAATCGTTACTAAATAAATATTACTTATTCACAGAGTAATTATTCTCATTGCCAAATCTTTTGGTTCGCAGCATTGCAGCGCCATGTGGAATGTCTTTTCATATAATATTTATGACACTGAAATTATCATATTTGCATTCTCTTTTGTATTAATCTCATTGTTGTCATCTTCAAATAAAGAAGATGGGTAGTCGCAGAAGGTCGCATAATCGATACGATGACGATGGCACCACTCTCTACGTTCGACAGGTGCATTACGCTGCAAGGTATTGTTTGTTGTCACCAGAATGTTATTGGTCGAACTGATCGGTGATAAATTGTTAGCGATAAATTAAAGGCCAGATGACTTGCGTGTAGTTTTTGAACGTATCGGTCCATTGAGGGATGTGTACATTCCATTAGACTATTACAGTCGTGAGTCTCGTGGTTTTGCTTACATCAAGTTAGTTTCATCACCTTATTTATGGTCATTTCATTCTTGTTTTTGTTTTAATTCTTATCATTACTATTCAATAATAATAATAATGTTCCAATATAATAATAATGAATGTATTCATTGAAATAGGTGATGTGTATGTAAAAGTGGCGTGTAAAAGGGTGTTGTAAAGAGGAGGAATAGAGAAAGTTGTAGTCGAAAAGTACTGATAGAGTGATAAATACATATGATATGATAACGGTGATATAATTAAGTGGTTGTTTGTACGTTTGTTTAATGGTTTGGTAATATTATTTATAATTTGGTCGTTGATTATTGGTGGTAGATGATGATGATGTTGTTCAGATATGAAGATAGTCGTGATGCTGAACGGGCATTCAAGGAGTTACATGGCTGTGCTATTCTGGGTAGACGTATTTGTGTGGAGTGGGCTGAGGGGGAACGCAAATGTTGGTGCTTTTGTTGCTATCAAGCTGCTTGCAAAGTGCCGTTGCTTACATTTTAATAAATTTGCAGCAAAGACGGAAATGAGAGAGAAGGATTACAGAGTGTCCGGTCGTTCCAGACGGTATTTGAATTTATTGTTTTTGGTGGTTATCATGTAGGAGATGTCTGAATTTTTTGATGGCTTTGTTGAGTGATTGAATAAGTATATAACTAAAGAGATGAACTAAAACAGATATTCCGAAAGTGACTATAAATCGTCATCATCGTCGAGAAGAAGAAGGAGATCAAGATCTCGATCTCGGTCCAGGAGCAGATCACGATCAAAGAGCCGATCTCGAACCAAATCCCGCTCTCGATCAGTGTCCAGATCAAAATCACGATCATCCTCATCAGCGCATTCCTCCAAACGCTCTTCATCTCATCATTCATCTGACTGAATGTAAAGTGATTTGTTCAGTGTGTTTCATAAGATATAATGAAAAGTTGTTTGCTTACAAATAAGGAACATACATCCGTCAGAATAACTGATGGCAGTTGTGTTTGATTATGATCATTGCAATTCCAATATTGTTTGTCACATTGTAATGATAATCCGTTCTTGTTTAATTGCACGTTCGTTGTTTGCGGTTATTGATTCATTCCTTCAATAAATGAATACACTTTTAATTAAATCGTTCATGTGCTTCTATGAGAGTGATCCAGGCAAGCACGAATTCAACGAATGCAAATCAACTACTTCAGCTTACTGAGCACAATTATCGGCAGTGTGAAAGTGAAACTTTGAATGCTTTCTTAAGGTCTCTCAATACGTTTTAATAAATGCATAATTGTTCGATTCAGTCATTTAGCTCAGCAGACACTGCTTCCGTTAGATGCATTAGCTGTGGGCGAGGCTAGTTTTGGACGTACTACTCCTGTTCGCAACGACACATTACCAATACAGTAATGCAAAAATCGTGTTGAGAAAGTGTTATATTCAAAAAATATTGGGCTGCAACATTTTTGTAATAATTCGCAGCTCAATTTTTCAGTTTAAAATTAACTATCTCAACACGATTCTTTCTACACTGTAATTGGCTATAACTTTGCATTTGTCAATTCTGGAATGTTGCAGTTTTTTGTTTTCATCTGGCAAAATTTCTTTTTCCTTGGGTATAATCGTTTTTTTTTTCATTTGGGAAGGATAGAGAATTTCAAAGANGGGGAAATATTTCACCCGTCCTTAAGGTCCAGCCGTACAATATCAGGTAGTTAACTGATTTTGTGGTAATTCATTGTGTAGATGTCCCATCAGTAATAGGAAATATTTCAGTCTCTCCAAAATGATGCAATTTATGTTACTGTTCTCTCGACAGGGTAAACTACGCTTACAAAAATGGTACGTGGCTTATCAAGACAAGGTCCGTTGTTCTGTTGTATTTGTCTATCGTTAGACCTTCTTCATTAGCAGCAACGAAATGGTTTACGAACATAATTGTGTTAAATTTGTAATTTCAGGTAAAGAAAAAAATTACACGTGAGTTAGTGACAACAATCTTGGCCAGGAAACCGAAAATGTGTGCTTTCTTGGAATATAAAGACATGAAGATCGTTTATAAAAGGTCATGGCTTTCATTTCACTAGTGTTATGACACACTGCAATAATATTAATTACAGATATGCATCGTTGTACTTTTGTTGTGCCATCGAAGATAACGATAATGAATTATTGTGTCTCGAAGTGATACACCGTTTCGTTGAGCTGCTCGATAAATATTTCGGGAGTGTTTGTGAACTGGATATCATATTCAACTTCGAAAAAGCTTATTTCATTCTCGATGAGTTCTTACTGGCTGGCGAAATACAAGAAACGAGTAAAAAACAAGTGCTGAAGGCTATTGCTGCACAGGATCTCATACAGGAGGTGCGCTCATATCAATTCGACTGTTCATCATGTAATTCGAATCAGTATTTTTTACCGATTTCAGGAGGAAACTCCTCAGGGATTTTTCGAAGACCACGGACTTGGATAATGCGACTGTGATGTCTTTTGTGATATTCATGGATGAATAATGTTGCTGGAGTATTATTATTGATGACTTTGTGCGAATAAAATTTAATTGTCACTCAATCGTAACAATGTGCTGAAGGTTCGCAGTGGGGTGGGGGCAAATGTTCATCACGAATAGAACACCTGTATGAACATCAACGAATGAAAACAGCCAATTTATTTAACAACTGCATAAATACAATTCATTCAATGCAGACAACTCAACTGACAATAAATGTAATGAAAATATACTTGACAACACAAAAAGAACACCATCATCAAATCAATATTCATAACAGCATTCATAAAAATAAAGTGAGATACAAATGAGATGATATTCCATCCAATAATCAATGCTCGCTCAAATACTTTCTGCCCGCGATCGACGTACGAACACTGAAAGTAACCGATGAGAGTAACAATCAAAAAAACAACAAGTAAAGAAATAACAAACCACTGCTGTAGTAAGTACTGTGCAGTTTGTATCTGAGCATGAGTGCCTGATATGGTGATGATGCGTTCGGTGTTTGGTTGCTGTGGCTCGACCACGATGTGTGCACCCGATTCCTCTCGAATGCGGTTGATGCGCTCACCTCCCTTTCCAATTATCGTGCCACCCAATTCGTTCGGTATCGTTACCTTCATATGTGTCTACATGATCTTATGTTCTAATTCAAGTGCACTATGTACCTGTGTAGTTTGCATCGGTCCACCGAAAGGTGAAGGTGGATATGGAGCGATGCCAGCAGCCATACCAACAGCACCACCTCTCGCGGCGCCATATCCGCCGTAACCAGCGCCACCCCCGCCTCGTCCTCGTTGGGGAGGCATACCCCCGGCCCCCGGTAAGAAAGCACCTCCTCGAGGAGGCACCACACCCCCTCTATAGTTACGATCTGGCACGTATCCACCGTATTCGTGGGTGTATGTTGGATCGTAGAACATGGATTCGTAGGGGCGTGATGGTCCTTTGATCGGAATCTATATGAAAACAAATCATTAAGTAGCAAGCAGAAGATCGCAGAGACGACATGATGAATAAATAGACCTCTTTCAACATGTTGATAATAAGAATAACACAAGCGATTATTTTTTCAGGTGCACCAATAATTTGAATGACTCGTTCAGTTGACTGTGGACAACACTGCGAATAAACCTGCAAACGAACATGATTACTAATAATAATCAGCAATACCAACGAAAGCAAACCTTCAATTGAGTATTTGTTTCTTCACGTAGTTCCTTGATGCGATATCCTCCTCGACCGATCACTGCACCAGCATGAGACTGATGTACTAAGACACGTAACTCACTCTCGCCATGATGACTATCACCATCCTCATTATTCGACTCTCTTGTCTTCAAACACTGCAATATTAACCAATCAGCGCATACACTTAACAATTCAACACACAGTTACATACCTCATCCAATCTCGGAATGATTTCATTGACACATCGAATGACATTATCAATTTCCGCAACAATAGTTACAATTCTGAAAATTGACAACGATCAGATTAATGACAGCATCGTAACAATGAGCAGAATACAGTAAACCACAAACACAACAGTCATTAATTTGATTATGTCTCTCGATCTGAACCCGAATGAATGAACAGGAGTTGGCTGGCAATATCAATTAGCATTATCGTAGACGGCATGGTAACTCCTTTCAGTAATAATAATAAGAAGAATAAGAATAAGAGTAACAAAGGTATTGGATTGGTGTGTGGTATGGTGTATATGAGGTGATAGACAGGCAGGCAGGGTGATATGAGATAATCATCGGATTCAAATGAGATTATGGTGTGATTACAGGAGGGATGGATTACCGTTCGGGCGTCTGGCTATCGGGGATTGTCAGGGTCGCGTCGCACTGCAAACATCACTTCGTTATAACAATCATTTTGTTTTAGACAGAGACAACAACATTCCGCTATTCACAACCATACCGTCATTTATCTATTATATGATCGTATACACCACCAATAAATAATAACCTCGGATCTGAGCCGTTTAATGCTCTCACCCCCCTTGCCAATCACAGCCCCAGCCCCACGACTCGGCACCAATAAACGCAATTCATATTTGCCAGCAGCCAAAGCCTCTTGGTAACCATCGGCGCGTTGTCTTTTGCCAGTCGAATAACCACCTCCATATCCATATATGTATCCGTCTTCACCACCGTGCCGTTTCATCTTTTATTTATGTCACTTTCAATTCCTGAACTTACTACCAATTATAACAATCAACAACATACTACCCCAACAACACACCCAATAAATGCTCCATATGCACCACTTGCTGAAATTCTTCATATAATTTGCATATTTCAACAACACACATCACAACATTTGCAAATAAACATTGTTTCCAAAAAATCGAAAAAAAATCGACGGCACTTTCGATCGATACACGAATAACGTTGTAGAATCGCGACGCAACGATGTGTGCGAGGACGTTTCGCCACGGACTATGTTAAAATGAAGCGAACAGGTAACAGCGACTACAGGAAACAACGCAAAACAAACCGATCGATGCGTCAAAACTGAACGAAGGCTGAAGTTAAATACGGCTCATTTGTTCAATTCGGCAATAATTGGGTGAATGTGCTCTATTCGGCACAGTAAATCGTGGTTCAAGTAAGTGTTACATTCAATTCTGACAGTGATGGCATCCGAACGAAGTTCTGATGCCATCACTATCAGAAATGAAAAAAAAAACTGAATTGCGTTCGTTCGAATAATCATGCCAATTGGCGATGATGCAGTTAGCGATGAGGTGCAGCAAGGCGTTGCATCATAGTGCAGTATCAAGATGGCCGCCATAGTTACAGTAATCGAGTTTTGCTTTCGAGACTCAATTGGAATTGCACTATTACAAAGCATGACGTACCCAGGAATAATCAGTAGGCTGATTGATACCCCGTTTTGTGCAGGGGCAAAGTGTTTGTCTTATAAACAGACGGTCATTGGTTCGATTCCAGCGAAGGGCAATCACACCTTTCAAAATTTTTTGACTGACCGTGAGTCAATGAAGGAAAATAAGAGATGTTAAAAATAGATAAATAAAATTTAATAAAGAAACGAGATCACATAAATGACGCATCAAAATCAAATGAACAAATTTGCTAAACAATTAATAGTTAACATGAGATTTACAGCAACAAATATAATATTAATAACAATTAATATGAAATGGATCATCCACATTAATTGTTGACTGCAATTTGCAAATACCATTATAACGGCAAAGTCTTTTTGACGCGACGTGACGTCCAATTACCTCTTCATTGTTATTACTATTATTATTATTATCATTACTGTTATTATTATTACTGTCGTTATTAGTAACTGAATCAACTGTATTTTCATTATTATTAATTTCATGCCGATTATTTTTGTTCATATTGAGCCGATTAAACGAATTATCCAATTGAATAGAATATTTCTTGCGCATACGATGTTTGTGCTTAAATATCATTACTCTTATGTAATATAAGTATTGATAGTATCATGTAATGTTTAGTAATAATAACAATAATAATGAACAAACCGATTGTAATTGACGAGATTTGTTCGGTTTGTGCTTGTTTGAAAGGTATTTTATAGTAGCTGATAAGTAGTCATCGAAGGAACTTTGGTCTTTCAGTTGGTTATATACATCGCTATTATTATTGAATGGAGATGAAGATGACGGTGTTGAGATTAGCGTTGTTTCGTCATTATTGTTATTAATAACATGTTGCTCTTGAGTTCTGCCATCAGAGCTCGATGGATATGAAAAATTAGTTGAAAATAGTTTATATAGTGAACAATGACTGTCATTATCTTCGTTATAATAATAATTACTATTACCACAGTGGTCGTTACTGCTATCCTTATTGTAACCTCGAATAAAATCATTGTGCATTACCTTGGAATGCCTCTTCGAACATGTCGCATCGTTGTTCTCAATGCTGAAGTTCAATTTTTATTTCGCTTTGCTTTTAATTGAGTGATGAAGTATAAATAATAAAAATACCTTTCATATTTGTTGAGTGAGCTGATGAAGTCGTGGACATCAAAACGCTTCACCGTATGCTTAAGTGACCATTTCTTGCTCAGTAAATCACCGAGTGTTAATGTATTTTTGAAATTGATCCACTTGGAATGCAACAACGTACAACTGTAATTGCATCTAATCCTTTCTTTCAAACGTCTCAAGACGTTCAGCTGCTGTTCACCCCCCAACAATATCTCGCCAACAGTCAACTGCAAGCATCTACTGTTACAGTCACATTTGTTAATCATAATCAGCTTACCTCTCTCATGCGACCGTCATTAAACGTCCACATCGAGGACTGCTCCAGTTTCTTGAACTTACCCATTTCTTCTGCATTCACCACATTCATGAACATTTATCGATCACACTGTTTTTATTATTTATACACACAACGAATGTATATTTCATCTATTAAAAAATATTCAAAGGTTACGCAATAGCTGTCTGTTCAGACGGCTTAAATGGCCAATATAAACAGCTAAGGGCATTAATTCATACAAAATAGTGCGCACTCGTGCGAGAGTAAAAGACATAAACGAAACTGGAAAGAGCATGAAAAATTGATAGAACTAAACAGTTATACAACATGAATTATCGAACTGAAAATAAAAAGAGAACACGGATATACGGATGAAAGGGTAAAGTATGGGATGAGAAGCATCATATGTATAAAATAATAATGATGCAGAATGTAGATATTAAATACTGATCATTGATAACAAGCAAAATGATAACAACACTAGCACTGTCAAGAAGTAAAACGAGACGTGTATGCTCACGGAACAATAGTCGAGAATACGTATAAAAGATGACGGCAATAATGATTATTATCAAGTGATATGAAAGATGATAGCACCAAAACAAAATCAACTCTGCCTCAATAAAACCGCAGTGATACCCATCGATAAAAAAATACTAATCTTCAAGAAGACTCAATGACGAAATAAAAACTACCCCACAAACGAACAATCAAAAGCATACAATATCACATTTATATTCATGAAGCAGTTGCAACACTTCAAATAACAACACCACTCTATGTATATAAATCAGTCGTCACAAAAAGACATGTGCACGATAATGTCTTCAGTATGTTCAATCTGAATACCATTCTCAATGGAGTTCAACAACTGGCTCGCGAACCGCTTCAACGCATCATACTCATTATCGTCAATAACCATCGTCCAATCCCGCCCTAGTACATCCGCTGCGTACGCACCAATATCTTTCAATAATATATCTCTTGTTGTTGATATCCCTTAAATTATTACCATTTATATAGATATCAGTGCGTGTGATCACAATTACCATGACTAGCTGTTGCTGCATTTGACTTACGAATACGTAAATCGTGTTGTTTGATTGCATCTTCGAACTGGTGTGCCTTCGTCACATCACTGTTCGTTGCTGAAGTGACGATCGAGCTTTCCATATTGCTTACGTCGATGATATTCTGAAATGCTCGTGTTATCACCACGCTAAATAGAGCAACAATGAACAATGAACCTGTTGAGTAGATTCGAGGATCTGATTGAGCAACTCATCCTCTTCATCGCCCTGCTTAATATTTCTGTGTGCTTGCGGTGTGCCTTGCAACGAATCACTTGCAGACGCAGTGCTCCATAAACGGTTTATTGCTTCGTTCGAATATCTTCAATAATCACTTTCAAACACTACCATCCACAGCACACATAGCTTAAACGAACCCTGTAGGCGTTTCACGAGCACTGATAACATCAGCTTGATTTTGTGCGTTAACGAACGGCCTTTCGTCGTCACTCGCTTCACCGTCACAACAACACATCGTCCGCATGCACGATACCAATTTCGATGACATTATCACTTGGGAATAATTATTGTCACTTGTTCACTCACTTATAAGTTACTCACTCTTGATGATCCAAATAAACAATTAATATGAAGTTAATAAATTTGATTTGATGAAGATCGTATCGACGCGAGCATGTGCACATTTTGTGAAAAATCGCTCGTCGCAAATCGCACGTTCGTTCAAGTTCGCACTCCGAATATCGCGTTGAGAGATATTTTTTGAAGTAATGTGAAAGCAAGCGGCAATAACCAAATTGATGGATTGTATTTGGTTCAGGGTTCTGCTAGAGCTCATAATCCCGATGTTTTTTCCTCTCTGAAGAACATAGCTTTAATGCATCTAGAAATTCAGTAACGCTTTACTCACATCGCGTCAGCACACGAAATGACTGAATAAACTAAATTATTATTATCAGTTAATGATAAATCGTTACGTGTATCAAAATCAAAATTTAGTCGATTATGAACTCAGAACAAAGCAATAATGTAATAATGGTAATAATAACAACAGTAATGATGAATCACATCTCCCTAATAAATTCACCATTAACAACAACTTCACATCAAAACGAAAGAAACAATAATGAATAAAGTTTGAATATAACCATATAAAGAATTGAATATTATTCATCCAAACGATTACAGAACTGAAAGTAAATGTAAGGTAATGAACAATATTATATCAATGAGGTAGCTTATCATTGAGGACTTCGTTAAACGGGCACATTTCGATTAATCGATAATGCAAATTGTAATTGTAAATAAAATTTTAGTTAATATAATAACTAAAATTTATTCGGTAATAAAGTTGTAAATCGTAACAGTGCTAAATATACACTTGTGAGTGAGTTTAAAAGGTGTAGAATAACGAGTTAATAAACAATATGAGAAAATTAAATGATTTATTGTTTAATATTTATATACGTATTTGTGTTGATCAAATCTGCGAATTTAGAGAACAAATAACAATAAAACAAAAGATCGGTAATAATAACTCGTAGAATGCGAGGAAATGACGACGCGAATCAGTCTGAATTGCAAGAATTTAGTTTTGATTGCAATGATAAACGAATAATAATGAATTCTATTGAGCAAATCCACTTCGTGATAAAACGATAAATATTGTATCAACCCTCACTATCAGCAGGTGTTTGTTCACACGTCTTTTCTGAACTTATTATTGACTGGTATCGTTAATGAACCCGCACACGCCCTCTTCTTTAGTGACCACTCTTGCTGTAACGATTACCAGCTCGGAATATGATATGATTGCAACGTTTGGATTATACTTTTGTTGGTCGCTTTTTGGAGCAAGACCGAAATGAGCATATATTATAATGAACCAACTCTTCTCTTTTCAGTGTCTGCATCGTTGTCAATAATCGTTGACTCAACAAATTCCTGTGCACCAACACCACTTATGACCATTTGCTGAAATGTTCAATATTACTTTTTGTTATAAAACTTAATAATAAAATTGATAAACACCTCTCTCATTTTGTCGAAATCAAGACAAGGTCTTGCACTACAGTTTAACCTTCCTCGTTTCGATGGCTGAGATTGGAATTTGAAATTATCATTTGAATAATTATGAATCAATAATCTGACTGGTTGCCGACGACATGCGATCAGTGTTTCACGTTGCTTTTCATTGTTCACATCTGACATTTATCAATATCATTTCTTATTCATTTTATTTATATATTTAGGAAGATAAATTAATAAATAAAAACGCACAATTACTGTAACTCCTGAGACGTGTAACAATCGATGAATGTCGTTGTGTTTTATTATTTGTTTTCGATGCAATATTTTCATATCTCCTTTTTTCACCGATATTATTCATTATTATTCCTTTTTGTTGTTGTTCGTTTTGATTATCAATAAGTTGTGTTGAATCTTTATCACTCTTCAAGTTGATATTGATTAATAAAGGAATGAAATAATTGAAGGAATGAAATAACCGTGCTGTGATGAAGTGTTGTTGTGACTGGACGAAATGCACCGGTTTGTTTCGATTTGCTTGTTGAGGAATATAAACCGCCAGCGGTATTATAATGCATCGATACACTTAAGTAATTGCATGTTACATATAATACGAACCGAACACATCCCACATAACTCACCCTTCCGGTTCCACCTCGAATACACTTTCAATAGCAACATCTCGACTGCTCTCCTCTCGATCACCCATCACTATACCCGATTCGCATCCTGTACTGTCCCAGCTATGGTTTCATTACTTTTATTATTATTGTCATGCCTCTCGCCTTTCAAATTATGAAAAAAATGAATTGATGAGATAATGAAAAATGAATTGATGAGATAGACGGAATGCAAATATAATACCTATTGGATTCAATATCAGACAGCAACGGGGGTGAGCTCGTTAAATTCGGTGGACTTTTACCCGTCAAATCACTCGTATGCTCTCTAGTTGACACTTTAATTTCATTATTTCATTCAAGTTAAGTGCTACTTTTATTTAGTTTAATAATGACAAAATATTAACTGCAATCTAGTCGCTCCAACTCATCATCATCTGATTCAGTGCCAGAGTCATGAAGGGTCGAGTTGTTATCCTTCAATAATAATATTATTATCAATTATAAAATAATACTATCATTAAATTTGCATTAAATAAAAAATGCATAAAATGAAAATGAATGAAAAACGAACCGAGTAAAAAGAGTTGAGTGTGGTGGTACTACGGTAATACAAGTCAGTGTTTTGTTGTGGCTGGATATTATTAAGGTCATTTTCTTGTAAAGAATGCTTCTTAAATTTATTCACAAGTTTGCTTAACATCTCTTTAACAATAGATAGATTCAGTTCACTTGAACTAAATACGAACAGATATAGGTACCGTTACTCTTTATTTATTTCATTCACCAGTAAATGTGCTTGATAATCAGTCCGTTTGCATTATTATCATTAAATACCGTTATCATCACATAACACTGCAGTGTGCATCAAGCAACCTTAAATCAAATATCTATTCAATTAACCATTTCCATATTCATATTAAACTGCAATCGTATTCTTCATTCACACGTAATTTCAATTCCTTTCAGTCTCCTTCATCTTCAATCTGCAACCTCTTCTTTCTCTCTCCGTAATCTCTCTTTTCCCGAACACAATATAACAACAGCAACAAATGGATACATGCCAAAAACATATCTTTAATTATTTACAAACATACTTATGCACATGATCTCTGATAAAACTTCAACAATCTATCTCCCTCGTGAATCAATAGTGTATAACACTACACTCTCTATATCTGAACAACAATCAACATCTCTCTTCATGAAATGATAACGAACCAACGTCGCCTTTCTGACTGCATGTGGCAATAACGAGAATGCGGATTACAGTCAAAACAACTGCTTTATCAGTATATAAGCAGATTATATCAATCAAATCGAATCTAATCACCAAACCAACTCACTTGAATTCGCGCTTCACAACCCTCTTTATAAGACTCAAACATGAATGTAACAACCCAAAAGCATTCAAGTCAACTCGTCACCACTGATAACAGCAACACCAATAAACAATCACGCCTCAAATCCATCTTGTTTTATTCTTCAACATTCATAATTCTTCATCGTTCACTCAATGAACAGTGATTTTAAAACGAAATTTTCTTAAATTATATATTAAACTGCAAAAACATTCAATAGAGACAATTAATGAAACAAAAAGTTGTGATACATTACTTAATTTACAAAATCATTTCAAATGATACAATGAGCAATACTATCAAATTACGAACAAATAAACAAGCGCACGAAAACAACATCTCAACTCAATATCACGAAGCCCTGTCATACAACCGAAACCACGTAATTCTATAATCAAAACGTTATCCTCTACCTTCCTAACCCCTCACTCTATATTCAATTCTGTCCTATACATTCACCGATAATCTTTATCATCTATCTACGATTATTATCCACTCGTCAACATGTCTAATTCTCTCTATTATGTGTAGCAGTTATTGCCAACGTATGCAAAACTGATAAAATTTTGGCAGAAATCAAAGGGGTAGGAGAGATAGAATATGAATCGAATAAGAATAATATTTATAAAGATGCAATCGAAATATATCATTCGAAAATGAATCTGGACTGGATGATTAATGAACAGTAAACTGTTACGTTTCAAACTGATCAACTACAAATAACAAAATTCGTTTACTAAAAATATTCAAATAACTGAAATGGAATCGTCAACAAAAAGAATGTTCATAAGTATTGTAAGAAAAAGATGGAATTGAGATTGACATATCAACTAAAGATTCAAGGAATGCAATTTAAAATCTGAAATAAATGTTAGGACGTCGACAGCTGAATCAGCCATTCCTCTCACCAATCGAGCAAAGCTTGGCAAGCATTTCATTCAGCCGATTCGTAGTTGGTGCATGATGAAGTTTGAGCAGTTTGGTAATCTCGGGTTCCTCTGGCCCGTGAAGCATTCATGTCATTGTAGAACGCAGCATTCAATGCACAAGTAGTCCTTTCTTGGACGACCCTTTTACTTTTTTACTTTCATCGCATTCTTTACATTTCGCAGTTTCGTTGTCTTCTTTAAAAAGAAGATAGTCTCCCCAATCCCGACTCCTGGAATTCCGGATCCTGACTGTGAACCCCGATTTTAAATCCCGGAGTTACAAAAGTTCGCAGATTGACTTTAGAGCGTTCAATGTGAGTTTCAGAAGCGCTTCGAAAGTTCGTACGGTTTGCAGCTGGAATATAAATCCCGACCATGAGACCGGTAGTCCCGAAGAGCTGTTGGCCTTTATCATTTATGGATATGCTTATCAGTACATTTCACCTTCGCATTATTTATTTCGATAAGTACAATGTTACAGTTGCAGTATCACACAAACAACCAATTATTATCTTAATTAATCACTTTTATCATGATTTAATTGCTGATTATATTTCAATTCAGCTTCTTTACTGATCCGATCATACGTTTCTATCATTGCACTTCGAACTTTTTCTGTCAATTCAGGCACATCTTCGAGTTTCAACTGAATTCCATCAGTTATTACATCAAATAATAATAATAATAATAATAATAATAATAATAATAACAATAACAATAATAATAACAATAAATAAATATTACATCCTTCGTTGAAATCGGCTCCATAACTTCAGCAATAACATAACCACTGCTGTTGAAATACCTTTTTTCTTTATCATAAAACGGTTTATAAGAAGATATTACGATTGGAATGATTGGAATTGCAGCCTTCAATGAAGATGTAATTTAGTTAGATGAAAAGCAATTAACAACTTCAATAAATGATACCTTAACAGCGATATTAAAAGCACCCTTCTTGAACGGCAGTAAGCCGCGCTCATGGTTTCGCGTTCCTTCGGGGAATACAAATAAAGACAAGTTCTTATGTTTTATCGCATTCACACACTCGTCTATTGACTGCGATGCTTTATCGTGATTTTGACGGTCCACGAATATTGTGTTAGCCTGATATTGTACAGATTACTAATAACACCTCACTACTAAATCCATGCAGATGCACATTGAACATTCCAACAGCAATATATCCTCTCTTACTAATCAATATAATGCCACCCATCTGATTTGAGTACTCTTACTAGCATTACATCGCAGAGTGAATCAACGAATAGCATTTGCAAAGGCATAAGGCATCACTGAAGTGTGATGAGAGATGCAAGCTGCATTTGCAGATGGGCATGTGCTAGAAAGCATCCACTGATGGCTTTAAAAACAATAACAACTCATCATTAAGGCAATTCTGTTTGCACACACTCTTGTCTAATGATACCAAACAATAAGAACAAATAACAACCAGATATGCCGCATAATTAAAAAACGGTATCCAACATAATGACTTCTTCATCATGATCGAACAATACGGTGGCCATACGTGCGATAACACTACTATATCAACCGAACTCTATAAAATTCACTTATTCGTTGGAATATTGCAGTTATATTATGTACCATCAATAACAACATCAATCATAAACCTGGTGATTAGCAATCACAATATAAGGTCTATCCACTTTAGTATAATTATCAATATTTCGAACATCACATTTTATACCAGTCCACGAAGAAAATACTCGAAATGTATTAAATATTAATTTTGGAGGCTGAAATCAAATACATTAATAAGTGAATAAACATATAATAGGATAAGAGTAATAACAATAATAACAAAAATGACGAACATCCCCGAAGAAATGTGCTGGTGTACACACAAGGCAGCACAATATCGCATCCACAAGTATCGTTAAATATAACAGTGTAACTTTAATGAAATATTCAACTTTGGTATTAATATGAACGAATGAGAATAATAACGACAGCAGCAATATCGATATTATCAGAAAATACCAGCACTCACATGCATCCGCCATAATCACTGCAGTACAAATACTCATTTATATTACATCTTCAACAACCCAATTACAGATTCTTTTAAATATCCTCATTTCGCTTTATTACACATACATACAACAATAAATTATATATAAATCCAGATTGTCTCGGCTTGACATCATTACATTTTCGAAGTCTTACACTGGCTTTGCGTCATACCCAATAATATTATACTTCAGTGCTGCCATATTAGCATTCTTTTTTGTACATATAATGATAATATTTTCAGTTTAAATTAATAATTGAAGAGCGCTAAATAACGCAACTTGATAAGATAGCACTTCCGTGGGATGACTTCCATAGTGGATTATCGCACTGCGCACTAAATACCCTCTTTGCTTACTCAATTCACGTTTCTCTTTGTTATAACGTACATAACTATAGCATTAAAGATAATACAAAAGCAAATCGAAGTAAGTGTAAAGAGGTAGAGAGTGGCTATAATAAAGGTGTGAATAAAGCAACAAATGTTATCACATCAATATCAATACCAATGCCAATATCCGCACCATTCTAAATATCATCACTACTTCACTCACCCTCTTTACTTCCATTATACGTTCGCATATTTTATTCGTATTCTAGATAGTGATAAAAACGATAATAATAATAATAACCAAATCAATAATTCTAAACCATTCAGCAAATCTCAATATATCATCGAACCACTAATAATAATAATCCAACTAATAATATTAATCCCTCTGCCACCACTACTACCCTATCAGAAATAACAAATCAAATCCCACTTCCTTAAATCCCAAAGTCGCAAACAAAATTTATTCTTCATTCATCTTATTATTATTAACTCATCTCTCCCATTCTACTTCTATACCACTAATAATGATAATAAATATCCATATAACTCCAAATACAATAATCAAACCCAAAAACTATCCCATCGCGTGACAAAACTTGCTTAAAATCCACAAATCGCGTGATATAAATAAAATAAAATGAAAACAAAACCAGTATATACTAATTAAATAAATAAAACTACTTCGTTAAATGATACCATACCACTCCATTCATATTCTATGTCGTAAAACTTAAGCCTATCTCCACTAAATCTTCATATCACTTAATACTTCTACGTTTAATTTCATAGTATCATTTAATAACATCTTTATATGATTTTCTCATTATATACATAATATTAAGGTGATCTTAAAATGTCGACTAATAAATGAAATGCGATTGAACATAATAATATCAAATATAATTTTGAATATATCCTTATTGATTAACGCAAAATGCTACTCGTGTGCCGGGACTTGTTACAGTGAGCCGTGTAATTGTCAGGTTTATCATTTGATAATTAACGAATGTGTTTGTTTATGACACAACTTCTGAAGGGTTTCTTTCATTTCTTTTTGACGATAATCACTTACTGCAAACAATAACTGATGTTAATAATTGAAGATAGGATCATGCGAATCCTCAGATTATTGCTATATAGAACGAAAGCCAACAGACATCCAAGGCCTTTACCGGATCACAAAAGGATGTATTAAAAGACCGTTACGCACACACACTGGGTGTGATTATGACCGTTTTAATGACCACATCCTGTGTGTTTGTAAAGGTAGCTTATTATTAACCTCTTATTGTTTTTATTATTATTATTACTAAATATAAAAATGAAGGTGAATTCTGCAACGACATGATATATATTGGTATGATGAGTAGACGTAATGTAACATGTCGAAATTGTTCCGAACGAGACCCCAACTGTGACCAGTTATGCATCGGCGAGTGGTGTCATGAGGACCTTACCACAGGTTATTTTTGATCTTACCGTTAGCGTATATAATAATCTGATCATTTATATTTAAGGTGCATCTGGCTGTGGATACGGACCCCCCTCACTACCATATTTTTACAAAGGACCCGAATTACTATACCACCGAACCAGATTATGTATCACTATGAGCAGGTACATGATTGTCACTGCTAACAAATTTGTATGTAATTATAATATTTCCAAATTGAACATAATGAATGAATTTCAGAGGTTTGAGCAAAGCGCATAAATATTGTATATGTAATACGAACAACTGCAATGCAATTCATAAAAATTATTATCCATGGGTGAACAGCCAAATGGACACCACGAAGTCATCGTATTCTTCCTAGTTAGTTTTGAAAATGAAGTGAAGTCATGTAATGATGATGAATTAAAGCGATAACAAGAAGGAATTGGCACTGCACCGATGCGTTTCATGCGAGATCAGTTCGAGTGATGCCAATATCATATCGTCTTGCAAACAAAACACCTGCATCGCGCACTTCTGCACTTACAACACTCGACGACTGCACAACAGCAACAGTCCATTCATGAACGAGAGACAAGGATGCATCAACGTCACTGACGACTACCAGGTTCGTTGCTCTTCATCCAGCAAGCATTATGACTCTACCACAATGCAGATGCAATTCGGATGTTCTCACAAGTGGATGAATAACGAAGAGGAGGAATTACTGTGTGCATGTAGAGGTGACAAGTGCAATCGAGACCTGCTATCAGCCAGTCAAAACAACCACATCTCTATTTATCATCACTCGTTCGTTCATTTACTCCTATCCTTATTTGTTATCACCATTCTATAAGGATTGTAATTACCATTGCTCTGTGATAAAATAAACCAGTTAATGTGCCTATTACATGAAGCTTATTAATTAAAATCTATTCTTGTATTATTACTAATAAATGAATACTTCAAAAAAGACATTTATTAATGTATTTATCTCTCTCCGGTTCGTGCTTGAGGATGAAGCCGTATTCTGTTTCATTTTCATTGCTATTTTGGGTGCAATAAACATTCAAGTTGTCGCTGAAAGTTTGAATGGACAGAAAACAAGGAAAAACAAATAGCAGTGGTGTAGTGCACAAATAAACACGCGCAGCGATCGGTAGCAATTATCTGTGGCGATGGAGATAGGTAATGCGGTGCACTGTCTACTACTACAAGCTGGAAAGTGAATGGTAAAAAGCCGAGGATAAGACGGAGTTGCACAAGCCAGAAATGAGAATAGCGATACCATTAAATGGGTTAACGAATTTTGATAGCCGAATAAACAAACGAATAGAACAATGATGCAGTGATACAAGCACAACAAAAAACCGCAACTCGAACCCCAAAGGTTGTCGTCTTATCTCTTCCCAAACTCAGTGACACCCACTGTGATGATAACTGTTTGTTGAATATTCCATGAGAATAAAACGAGCAAGAAGCAAAACCGAAAAGCAACAATAAACAGTACTTAAACGGAATGAACCGGAGTGCAAATAAACGCCCAACAGACTGTTAATAACGACCATTCAACGATCAATTCAACCCACAGCATTTATTAGATCCATCCTCCAAATAATAATCAAAATAAATATAATTATTTAAACCATCGATTCAAATCAGAATAACCATTATTCAAAACTATCAATATCTAATTAAAATAAGTTTTGATGAAGATGAATACCAACAATTATAATGGTCAATGATAATGAAATCAACGTGGGATTAAATATGCAAACTGAATGAAACGGCAATTGGCCATTGAAGTACGCATCACACGAATAGTGATTCGGCTGGTAATGACACGGATAACGACAATAATATTAATGAGGATTACCTCAGTTTACAATAAATAGAGGAGTATAGAATGGACCATGAAATGCACTTATAAACAGATTAAATATCATCGATATTTAACTCGTCTCCGTTTTCAGATTTGATTTTGATTTGATCATCTTTCTTCACCGAGTGATCATTCGTGTGACCGTTGTTCGTTTCGATCGTTCCAACGCGACGTGCACGATCATCGAACTGAACAGCACATGTTCGAGTAGGTAATGACGTAGAGTGTTTAGATAATAATGATATACCTGAACAGCATCCTCGTCCTCATCCTCCTCACTGCTCTCATCCTCCTCTGCATTCTTCAACCACTCCAACACTGGCTTCGCTTTATTTATTATCTCCTCGCAGAACTTCTTCTTCACATACTTCTTGCTCGGCTGCAATTGCTTCGCACTGTTACAGTCACAACAAGCACGTAACAAATTAAACCAACTCGTTCTCCCCAATTGAGAAGCACCTCCTCTTCGACCACATCATTGTCATACAACGCTTTGATGATATGTGCTGACTTGGGCAGTAGTTGTTCTGAGTGTTCGTTTATCAACTGCTCGATACCACCCAGCAGATGACGTTGTGCCTTCAATTCATTTCTTAGATCGGAAGTGATCATATAATCAAATATACCTTATGATCATCTAGAGTGAATCTTAGCAGCAGATTGCGGTACTGCTTGATCTGCGCAACAACATTCGTATCGAACAGCACATTCGCCAGTAATATTGTCGCTTTGGATTTCAACTCGAGACGTTCTGCCTCGTCCAGCAGACGTTTGCTATCCTTAAATTGTACGAACATAATTACAAGTAACAATAAGAGATACACCAACATTGATAGTTCCGTTGCGTTTCGCGTCGATGAAGAACTGATGCAGCATGTCGAGTCTCTCCTCGATCGACTTCTCCAGATCTTTGCTGATGATCAGTTTACCGATCTGCGATGACACCTGATTCAAACCCAACTCCTCCTCGTTCGGCTCTGCCCAATCCTCATCCACTTCATCCGATCCACTTCCATTCTATAAGATAGACACAGTTTACCATTTCTACCATCCACATCAAATCCAACTCGAAACTAACCACATCCTTATCGCTAGCCACATTATCTCCACCATCAATCAGATTATCCTCACTTCCGTCCTTCTTCTCTCTGCTCGACTCGTTATTATTCTTCGGTGGATTCTTCATGATGAATGTTGACAGTTTATGTTTACCATCGATAATCGACGAATTTCCACAAGCCTTGCACTTACTGTGTATTTGTCCTTTGCGTACAATCTTCAATATCATCTCATCTTATTAAATGCTACAGTTACAACTCTACAATAATGAAACAATCAACGAACAAGAGTAGTTTCCGGGTTGTCACATGCAGCACACAACACAAATTTTCTGATGAATCCATCCAGAATATCTTGTAGTTTGTTCGCATCATGCTCACCATTCACTATGAATCTCTCGTTTTTCATATCAAAGTTCGTTTGCGCACCTAGCTCACAACCAAAATATTTCGTCGGATCTTAAATTACTTTTATTACTATTATAAAATTATTTATAAGTATCTTTTGAATACAATAACTGATAAACACCAACATGTCGGAGGACGTTCAAGAGCTTTTGCAATCTCGGTCATATTTGCGATAACAGTTTTGATACCATTACCCTTGCCTTCGACCTTGGCTTGGAGTCGTGGCATTTTGTAGCGATAAAACGGGTCGAGAACTTGGCGATTTATGTTGATAGACATGGTTGGTTAATGGATTAGTCGATATCAATCGTGATCTTATCAATGACGATTCAATATCTTCAATTCAATGCATTACTAGCGAGTATTGCATTACAGCAACAACAACAACAACAGAAACGAACCATTGAAAAACCATTCAAACTTCATCAACATACGATTTACTTAAATGCAAGCGTTCAATGCAGCCTGCTTCAACAACTTTACCACTACAACCACCCAACTCACCACTCCTTCTTCTTCAATAAGCAACTGCATCTATCTATATTATTTATACTCTTAAATATATTTGCATAATCATTACTTGAATAATTGTTATAAAAGTTGTTGCTTGATAAAGGAGAGACTTGATGATAAGGCGATGATGTTCCCCAATGGCATACGGAGTCTTGAGATGATACCTTATCGAACGAGCGTGATGAGTCGCCAAGCGACAATTCAAACAAACACTCCTTCAGTTTCTTTCGTTTTCGTGACAACCTCCCTTAATTTATTGATCCATCATTAATTACGAACCAAATGAGCGTTGAGAAACCAACCTTCTTGAGGGTTGTCCACCATAAAATAACAACTGTTTGGTTCGGAAGGGTGCAAAAACATGCAACTGGGACAGACCAGTGGCTTTGTGCTTTGATGAGAACTGAAACGAGTTATACCTGAAACATCTTTATTACTGCACATAAACACTTCATCAAATACAACACATCGAACGTTACGATACTGACAAACGCCTAGCTCGATAAGGCCTCATTCGAGAGTTTATATGCACAATTGGGTGGGACTTAAATATTTAAAAAAAAAACAAAAGTCTAACAACTGACAACTATACCTATTCCAAATAATACATTCTTTTATAATTCGCACCTATCATTTCAAAACATAATTATAACTCAAATTACGGACGTACACTTCAATGAGAGGTCGGTCAGTTATTATGAAAGCACATCTGACGACTGATAGAAGCAATGAAAATATGCAACTCCTAGATAAATGGAACAAAAATCAAATGAAAACAACAATGAACATGGAAGGTTAACTAAGAAGTTCAATGAAATAGAATGGATGAGAGAGAGGCGTGCAAAGATAAGAAGGAATGAAATATAGAACCTAAGGTGGGGTGTGATACGACGGATGAGAACGCGATTCGGATTAGATGAAACATTGAAATGAAGTGGTAACTGCAGTCGTGCATTAAAAATAAGCCAATATTATATCACTTCTAATCAATATTTAATCAATTTCATGACGAACACAGAACAAAAAGCTGGCAGTCACATACAGCCACTCGTTACGTTCTCAAAAGCAAACCTACCAATAATAATTTTACATTTACCCAACCTCAATTCACCTACAGTATAAAATAAATGCAAATAAATCGGTCGAATGCGATGACGTCATAAAGCACTAAAATAAATGTCCCTCTGCGTCTGCAACCAATCGATCAATTTCTCGTTAACAACCCCAATTCCGAATCAAATGTGTTTCTTGTCAGACATATTCTAAATCGTCTCGTCACAAACGTATATCCATACAACGCAAATCCCAACTCCAAATAACAAGACCGAGTTACAAACGCGAATGCAAGACTGATTTAAACAAGTACCAACACTTTGCACAGCACCTCAACAACTAATATTAAACCAAAACCCAACGAATACAACTCGCATAAATGTATATATACACCACCCGTACACACCACTCTCCATTCATTCCTCTTACATTTTTTTACTTCACTCTTACAGCATAATGCCTCAGCCACCCAACCGTCTAATTCTGCTGTCAAACCACTTCTTTAATATACACTTCAACACATAATATCGATTGTCTAACAATTCTCTGCTGATCCCCAACCAATACTCTCTGAAATGTTCTTGTCTGATTCTTTGATTGCCACGAAGACTCTAACAGTCTGGACGCATGCAACCTAACAGTCTGAACAACGCGATAAATGAGAACACACCACATATAAATTACGTCATTGAGGTGATACTATAATACAGCAATGATCGGACATAAAACGAAAGATAGATTTATCATCGATACTTCATATAAGATGGTTCATTCCTCCTCTTTACATTATCATTACTGTCATCTGGTTTGTCGTACCTAAAATGCAAGCAATCATAAATAAAACAAAGGGACAAAGCAAAAAATAATACAACAAATTAATGAACAACACTAACGTCGATGAAATAACACCACATTTCCTATTCAACTTCTCTCCGAAATAACCGAACCCTCGTCTATCACCACTCAACTGACTCGAACCCAACTCCTCACAAATCGCCTCCACACGCCCACTATTATCACGACCTAACCCCTTACCAGGTTCCCATCCGAATCTACAACGACAAATGATTAAATTAATACCAGTACTATACAAAAATCTAAAGTCACCTACCTCTTCATCACAACACTTCCCACACCTTTCGAATACCTTTCAAACTCGCCAATACTCCTTCCTTTACTGCCAATTTCTGAATCACTCAAACGTCTTCGTCTCTTTCTTGATATGTCATTTTTATTCTGACCAAAACATGACCTGGTTATATCACCTGATCTGTAATACATATATACCAGTTATCCAACTGCAAATAACTAATAACCCGTGAATAACCAGTGATGAGCAACACCACCTCAATTTCTGATCCTCCCTGATCTGGAATGACTGTACCGCATCCCTGTCCCCTCCCCGATCGTCGTAATAAATTGAATAATCAACATCCCAATCATCGTGCCATTTCCAGTCGCAATCCGTCCCCTCTTCCCTATCCCTCCAATAGTTCACATCCGTATACCATACCAGTCCTGGACCACCTTTTTCCCATGTTACCTTTATTATCCATTATCAGTAACGACAAACAAACAAACAAACAAATAAAACTACCTCTAACTCCTCTTCATATTTACGTGGCTTCGTCCTTTCTTGTTCAGTCACATCTTCATAATTCGCTTCATGCCTCAATAACAAAACGTAGGTAACACTGATAACAACAATTGATAATACTAAATGAATGAACACAAACCTCTCCCATTCCTCACACTGATCGTCGTCATTATCACTACCATCATCATTATCAGGTTCTTCACGCTCTATCACCTTTTGTTCTATTGATACATCACACTCCTTACGCTTCTTATACAATTGTCGTTTCACTTGATGCGCAGACGTAGATGGCTGATTCGTGTCGTAATCAAAAGGAACACTTCCGAATTTACGAGTGCTTCGTTTCGACTGAATGCCCAACTTAGAGATGAGTCGCGGTGGTAGTTTACACAATCTGATCTGAACTTGTTGATAAATGTAATAACAGTGCTTGATGCTAAATAAACGAACTTGTTCACGCAAGAATTGAGACGAAGTGCCGATATTGCCATGAGGCATCAGTGAAGGTGGTTTTAATTCGATGAGTGATTTGATGTCAGCTTCTGATAGTACATCACTTTGTCCATCACCTTCTCTCTGAAATGATTTTGTACTTGTAACGGTTCAGACTGGCTGCATCGAACTGTATAAATAACAACTAAATGTAATTGATGATAGCGACTCACAGGTGAACATATTTTAATTGGGAATATGAAGCATCTCAGCGGGATCGGATCATTGTTGCAGTCAGTCCACAATTTTTCATGATACTCAGTTATGAAATTATTTCGATCGGTCACATTATCAAACCTTATTAAACAACAACATCGACCTGTAGCTTTAGATTGATTCTTAGCGGCTTTTGCTGACGACTCTTCATTTGTATCTTTATTTATCTTTAATTTAATTATTTTTAATACATCGATTTAATACAAAAGCATTCGAGCCAATGAACTGGTTCGATCAAATCACCTGGATTTCGGGTCGATGTCGAAAATGAAAACAACTGAATTTATTGCTTTCGACATAATCGGCGAAATACCTTCGTAAATCTTTGGAATGGAACGAATTCGGTATATTCCTGAGTAGTGCATAAACAAACACCTCACTCATTACTGCAACTTCAATTCTGGACACACAACTAGCCAATAATTACAAGCTCAATAGCCTACAGCGACCAGATGCTTCGAGATCATCGGCTCTATGACAATGTGCCACTCCGACAATTTGCGCGTGCTTCATCCTTGAGTAGAATGTTTTTTGGCACAGTTCGACTTGTCGTAGATGGGTGTTTTATATCGGGTGCACGACAATTGACCAAGCGACAACTGTCAGCACGACGTTTAGCCAACATGTAGTCAGTCACACAAACTTCGTTTGGCTTCGCTTTTTGAGCAATGCGAACGCACGTTCACCATTTTGTGTGTGTAATATAAAATGCAGATTATGTGATATATTTCGAGAATGTTTATCACTATTTTATGGTACTGGTGTCGTTTGAGGGGCAAAACAGCGAACGTGCAGCAGTACAACAGCACTATGGCCGACACAGCCTTAGCTTAAGCGTAGCCTCAGCCTCACGCTCAGACTGAGGTTGAGGCTACACTTAGGTTGAGGCTGAGGCTACGCTTAGACTAAGGCAGGGACTAGGCTTAGGCTTAAGTTGAGGCCAGGCTCAGGTTGAGTCTAAGCCTCAGTAATACGCTTTTTATACCACACACACATAATGGTGAGCATGCATTCGCACTGCTCAAAAAGCGAACCTAGACGAAGTTTGTGTGACCGACTACTTGTTGGTCAAATATCGTGCTGACAGTTGTCGCTTGGTCATATGTCGTAGACCCGACCCTTTTATATCACACACAAAATGGTGATCGTGCGTTCGCACTGCTCAAAAAGCGAAGCCAAACGAAGTTTGTGTGACGGACTACAGGTTGGCTAAATGACGTGCTGACAATTGTCGCTTGGTCAATTATCGTGTTCCCCTATACACTAGTGCCGATACATATCACTGACATAATATTCACTCAGCAGTGCCACAACATTCTCAAAAATACTTAAACAAGACATTTTATACCGTTTCGAAATCGTCCAACATCCATCTAATCCTTCACTGATAGACTGTCACATCGTGAACGATTCTCGGTAATCGTTCGACATTAATGGACATTAAACATTCATTGCGAATGTCTAATGCTCACTTAATACATTATAAAATGATACTCCTGTCATCATTTCCTCTACCACCTATTATAACATCTTTTGTAACAGTTATNGTCATTCTGTCAATTGCATAAGTCAAATACCATCCGATAATAACAAGTGAAATTAACATATGTCAAGGAGTATGCTATATACAACCATGTTAATAATAACGTGAAATGTTAAACATAAAATTAACATATCATATTTGTTATAAATATACACAACTTTACAACAACATTCATTTTTTATCGAATATTGAATTCGATCGCTCGTTTAACAGGTTTGGCCAATGATATTAACTGAAGCAAACTTATTGTTATTGAATCTTCGGATTAATTAATAAAAGTAAAAATGATCAGGGTTGCGCACCGTCAACCAAATTATTAACCATTTAACATTAACATTCGTTAAACACGCTGAGGTACTGATGTTTGACCATTCGTTAATGAAAGACTTAACGCCAATAATGCTGAATAGTCAAAACCATGACGAGCTCTCCACGTCTTCTTTGGCACTTAACCAAATTAGTAGCCATCCAAATGATACACGACTAATTGTAAGATATTGACAAGCATCAATTCCAATTTAAAGTTGTAAGGAATGAATACAAGCCGACACTGGTCTCATCAAATAAAGATTAATTTAATTTAAAGTGCTATCGATAAAAGTACTTGAACGCATACCCCTATCTCGTTCGCAATATGCTTTTCATGACATCATTTAGACCTTGTGAACAGTTTCCTGAATTCAACTAACGCACCCGAGAGAAACTATCCGCACTGTCTTTTAACGCATTCGTTAGTTTGTTGTTGCAAAAACTAACGAAGATAATTAACAAAACCGTGCCCACCTTTGATAATGATAGTAATGTTTTTTGAGTGCTGAATAATCGGATTTACAAGGAATGAAAGCGAAACGAACAGACAGAAAGAAATTAGAGGAGCAATGCTGGTACCATGGATTAATCTCGAGGAAGGATGCAGAGTAAATTTACGTTAATGAACAATAAGAGTTGTGAATATCATACCACATTACATCCTACCATATCAGATCACTGAAAAGCAGTAATGATAATAATTCAGAGCTCTGTTAATAAAGAAAGGTGACTTTGTTGTTCGAGGAACAGAGGTTTATGGTGCGTATCGAATTGTACTTAGTGTGAGAACAAGTGACAGAGTTGCACATTTAACAATCAATCCGTATGGTGTTTATTATTTGAAAGAAATTGCTATCTTTTGGATATTATTACACACTGATGGTGCACTGTTATTCATAAACGAACATAACTAATTACAAATATGCAGAATAAATGACGGAAGATTATACCAGATTTCAACTATGAAAAAATCACGAAAAGCTGCTTCGGTGTATGACTTGATTCAATATTACAAAGTGAGATATTATTAACCATATTTTGATCGCACACAACAAGTAAGATTAATAATATTACAATGATGATGGAGATAACAAAAATAATAATTGATAATAATAATAATAATAATAATAATAATAATAATAA